GTGTTTATTGCTAATGTTGAATGCACACGATTATCTTGTGGTAACTGAATGTGACCGTGATGACCGTGCATCATAGCGAGAATCCACGCATATCACATGAAACAGCGGGACCGTAGCTTTCCAACAAGACCAAGCACTTGTCAGTAGTCCAGTGTTTTCACAGTGAAAAAAAATATAAATTTACACTAAAATTATGTATAACAAAGCTTTCATACAGCTTTGCACACGCTGCACACGGATGGATTACTCACGAATGCAGGCTCGCACATAAATGCCACACATATCATAAGAAAGTGCAGGATCAGAGCTTTCCAGTGATACCACACACACCTTTGTGTACCCAGACAACTGAGGCCTAATTATGCATGCCTGACAGGACAATAGCCACCATATACATTGAGGGGGACATGCCCCTCCCCCCAATGCCCAAAATTTCCCCCCAATATATAACTGAAACTGAAAAACAACAACAAAAAAATGTTCTGGTCAGGTCAAAGAGCAGCAAGGAGCACAGAGAAATGAGTCAAGATCATGTTGACAAGAAAATGTCCAGAATAATTCTGTTGCACCAAAACTTTAAACTCCAATTTAAAATTTTTGAGATGGATTCAGGAAAACAATCAAGTTCCTCGAAGAAAGTTGAGCGACAGACTCAACCCACTTGACTTTTATGATGAGGAGGAATTTGTGTTAAGATGCCGGTTCACTAAGGAAACTGCTTTGGAGCTGAACAGGAAGATTGAGTTAACTGTCAAACATGGCAGTGACTCAGCTGTACCACAGACGCTCCAGCTCCTGATGGCCCTGAGATTTTATGCCAACACATTGTTACTCCGACCTCATCACTTCAGTGTTTGGTCATAGACTTTCCACACTGACATATGATGTGCAAAGTACCCTGGGTGTGTAGGTTGTTGGCGTTCTGGGACGCCATATCAACTTCGGCCTGTTACATGCATTGTCTGTTTTCAAAATACACTTCTGTTTTCACAGGAAGGTCACAGTTTTCATAGTTTGCATACAGTGTCTTTCAAAATAAACGCACTACATCAGTACAACACTATGAACTGACATGTTTTTCCTGTGGTTAGGTTTAGCCAACACACGCAAGTAACTGGATTTAGGCTACAAAGCATGTGGATGGGTTTAGGAAAAAAAGAACAGGGCATATCAATGTTCCCGCTTCTTTTCCTTTGTCTTTGTCCTGACCACATGGTCAAGCAAACTTCCCCCGATCTGAAGCCATCTTTGATTCAGCCATCTTGTAGTTCTCTATTGTCAGCTATTTTGTTTTGTAGGCCAGACAGCCTTTGTTTCACACACACACCTTTTGTCTCTCTCTCTCTCTGTCTCTCTGTCTCTCTATCTCTCTCTCTCTCTCTTGCATACACACACACACCCACACACACATACCCACACACACACACACACACACACACACATATACACTCCCATGCTTGTATATAAACTAAGTGCAAAAAGTAAGGAAATTTGTGTTTGGTAGATTATTTCTTTGTTGTAACAATACTTCTTGGCAATAAATCTTATACCGTTGGAAAGCCTGTTTATTTCCCTTTTAAATGGTGCAGTATTTGTAAGGAACATGCATTTGTGGGATAAGCAGCAGAGCTGGGTATGTGGGTTCCGCCCATGAAATATTTGCCAAATCTCCTCGGGCAATGCCAAACAGCTTCTTTTTGCTGTTGACTCTTGTTTGGTGTTGTTTGGTGGATTGGATGGTTGAAGTCTGAAGAAACAAGACATATTGGCAACTTAACAATTTATTCATTTAACAAATAGGAGCCTGGCACCTCCTCCTCATGCTGGTCACCAGCCTGGTCACACACTACTGTGGGAAGGTATCCCATTCTTCAACCAACATTTGTCACAAGTCAGCCAACGTGGTTGTGTTGGTCACTCTGGCACGACCAGCATGCCCAAGCTGACCCCACAAGTGTTCAATGGGGTTGAGGTCAGGACTGCTGACAGGCCATTCCATCCTCTCCACTCCCAAATTCTGGAGGTAGTGTCTGATAAACCCCGCAATGTGAGGGCAAGCGTTGTCATCTTGGAGGGTAGAGTTCGGTCCCAGACTGTGGAGATGGGGGATTGCCACTGGTTGCAGAATTTCATCTCGATATCTCTCTGCATTGAGATTGCTTCCATGATGACAAGCCTCGTTTTCCAGCAAGGGAGATGCCACCCCCCACCATCACACTGCCTCCACCAAAAGATGTTACTCTATCAGTGCAGCAATCAGCAAAGCGTTCTCCAAGACTTCTTCACACTTACCCTATGATCCAACTGCCGTAGCCAGAATCTGGACTCATTGCTAAACATAACATTCCTCCACATGTTTCAGTGCACGTGTTGCCGACACCAGCGCAAATGGGCCTGATGGTGAAGGGCAGTCATGGCAGGCCTCCTGGCAGTCCTATGAGACCAGAGATTGGCTGCGTGCAGTCTGTTCTGGATTGTCTGGGCAGAGAGCCGTCGGCCTTATTGTCCTGCAAACCTTGACGGCAAATCTGTAGAAGATTGCCTGCAGTTCCTAAGTGCTGACAGGATGAGGAAACGGTCTTCTTGGGACGCCCACTTTGCAGCCTGTCTCTGGCATCCCCTGTTATATGGAACTTGGCCTTCAGTTTGTAGATGGTACTAGGGCTCACTCCAAATAATGCCGCAACTTGGTTTTGTGGAACACCAGCTTGAAGTTGCCCTATCGTATGGGCCCTGTCCAGATCAGGCATGCCAATTCTTGGAGCAGACACCAACTGACCACTGTAGCAGGGCTACCAAACACAAATTTCCGTACTTTTTGTGATTAGTTTAGTTAGTTCGAATTTGTGTGTTTTGTTGCTTTACTTTCTTTATGAATAAATATATTTGGATTCATACCTGCTGTCTGTTTAATATTGCACAAGGGTGAATGAATAGTCATCCTCTGTTATGTCAGGAATTCTGAAATCCTTCGGCCATTACTATTAATATGGTTATGGTTATTAATTTTGCTATTAATCAAAATTCCAAATTGATAGTTAAGTGAACTTTTTGAGACTCATATCATTAACTAGCTATCATTTTCACCTTTTTTTGGGAATGGTGCCCAGCAAGGTGATTTAATGTGAATTATAAGTCAATAAGTCACATTATTTAACATAAATAATAATAATTATTAAAAAATTATTAATTATTCCCAATAGCCATTTTGATACCTTAATTGGAGTTTAGTTACGAGGTCAGCCCTGTATTAAAGCTGAGATCCCAACAATGGTCATCCTACATTAATAACAAGGATCTTCTGTCAATTACATACAGACCCTTTAATCATTTTGGATACTACTACTACTACTACAACACGAACATAACAGACTGTGTAGTGTATAGAATAGCTGACACCTTTTGTTTATGTTGTTCACTTAACCAATTAAAATGGTGGCCACAACTGCAAAAATCACCAAACAGGAATTTAAAGACAGTTATTATGTTGAAAAAGCACTATTAAACAACATAAATGCTGCTTGATAATTCACACACTACTGTACCCGTAGGACAGCCTGGGATAATGTGAGTCTCTGTCAAACTGTCAAACTAGGCAGCACTGATCAAATATGGATAAAGATTCTGTTACTGCATTCCTCACCTCAAATGGTTTCAGAAACATATTTAGCCATTAAATGAGAAAGTTGTTCCAGCTGGTGGGCAGTGCTTGGTACTCCATTTAACTGTGTTCAACATGGCATGACAAACTTTTTTACAGCTAAACAGTCAGTAAAATATGTTTCTGAAAACATTTGAGGAAAGGAAAAGACAATTCAGTAACAGAATCTTGTTTCATGTTGGATCAACGCTGCTGAAATGAGTTAGCGAGTGTTCCCTTGTCTTGAAGTTGTCTGAAATAAGGTCTGTGGTTAACACGAGTTGAAGAGACTTTCACATTTTGTTCTCCAACATAAAATACATCAGTAAATACCCCACTGTGAACTTTGAGGCTTCTGTGTGTCTTAAAAAAGGCAGTTGCGGGTGCCCTCTTGCTCATCTGGTAGAGCAGATGCCCAGTGCACCAAGGCTGCGTCCTTGCTGCAGCAGCTGAGTGCTGAGTGCTCATTCAGCCATTTACACAGCTTGAAGACATATCTGAGGAATACAATGACTGACAAATGACTGAGTGGACTAACACTAATGAACATCCATCATGATATTGAAATTGATGCTGAGGCCGTTCTGCAGGAGTTCAATGCAACAGGGAGACGCAGAATGAACTTCAAATAGGTAAGAATACTTCTTAATTTTCTCATCTGGCCTTTTTTATTGTTAATCTTAGCAGCTTGGTTTGGGCTTCATGTTACATATTGTTACTGTATATTTTTTATACATACTGTTAATGTTGTTGCTGTGTGATGGCAGCTGCAAAAATCAGGGAATCTGTTTTCTGCGAAATGCCTGTTTCTCTGGGCTGTATTCAGTGCATTATATGTATTCTATTATTTTGCCTGCTTGTTGTTGTGAGGTCTGTTGGCTTGTCTTTGAAAAGCACATGGTAGGTTAATCAGAGTTTTATGGTGGAGTTTTAATGCTAATCTCTTCCTTGCTCACTGAGTAGACTGCCTATGTCCATGCGTGGAAACCTATGTGTTAAAGGTACCCTACAAGTGGGCGGGCGGTTCCTGTGCATACTATGAAATATAATCCTGCCGGCGCCACTGGTGTCACACATCTCAAATGTTTCCACCTTGGGCATGATAAGGTTAAAATTAACCACTAAATGTCAGACAGTTCACTCAGGTGAACTCTCAGTGCTTCTCAATGTAAGCTTATGGGATTAGTGGATCCCCTCTGCAGCTCAGTAATGTTATTAGAGACTCAGATTCGGATAGAATAAAGGCATCACCAGCCAAAGACAAACTGAATAAAGCAGATTAAGAATGAGGATGAGGTAAGTAATCAATGCACAGGCTCTTAAACTGTTTCATGAACCATACTTGGTGATAACAACTTACCCACTGATGATTTCAAATGGAGGTAGTTCCATTGGCTCCACCTGAAAATCTCCATTCGGACTGTTAGCCACTGCACCATTGGTGGCCGCAGCCTCAGCTGATGGGACCTCTCCATTATCCACTGCCTGCTCTCCCTGCTGTCCTTCATTCTTCACTTCCTTTACATCCTTGCTCATTTCAGCAGACACATTTTCTCTTCTTTCTTTTCTTCTTGTTAGCATATGACTCTTTTCAGCCATGGTGAAAGAATGACTGTCGAGAGAATTTATGGCTTCCGAAAGAATTAAGGTAAAAAAGATAAGGTGTAGATTAAGACAGGAGGTCAGGACAGAAGACCTGAAACAAAACTACTAAAGAGAAGACAAGCAGAAAGAAAGGGAGACCAAGTGAGGGGGAGGAGTGGAATGGTAGGGAAGGCAGGGGAGCAGAGAGGAAGGAAGTTGTGCAAGAAACTAACCAGAGGGAGAGAGAGAGAGAGAGAGAGAGAGAAAGAGAGAGAGAGAGAGAGAGAGAGAAGCTAGGATCAGACCATAGGGGTCATAGGTTTGTCCATAAGCCAGGCTGAAAGGTTATTTACACTTTGGCAGTTTTCTGTCACATATCCCACTGTTAAAAATAATTAGTAAATAAATAAAACCAGCAAAAAAATAAATAATCAAATTGCTTTCAAAAGTGAGTTTTCACTTCCAAAAATGTGATTTAACAGGCTGTAATATGGAATGTGGATACCTGTCATTGTTTTCATGAATTCATAAAAATAGATTCAAAGATGCTGTATTACAACTGAGGATACAATATGGTGTATAAGCAGCTTCAATCTAAAAATATTAGTGTTGACACTAGCCTTTAAAGGCTGATATGGGTTAAACCATGTTAGATACACATAGGCAGCTGCAGCTCACAGATCAGGCACATCTATTTAAAGACCCTGAGGGGGAGGTGGGGGGCAGGGCCCCAGCTCTTTGTTGTTGACAGTTGTGTCTGTGCTAATCTGCATTTTGACAAACTAAAATTGCAGCCAATGTTGTCACACATGAAAAGGGTAACATGTAGAGGAATATAGAGGTATTAAATAGCACAAAATGAAAATATTTAAGTACAGGTACCTCTAAATTGTACTCAAGTACAGTACTTAGGTAAATGTACTTTATAACTTTCCACCACTCTCATTGTTTTTTTGTTTTAGATCCGTGCAGAGTCACAGAGGCTCATGGCTGTTCTTCTTATAGGATAAGTTTACCACCCAGCTGGACATGCACTCAGGTCAGCTGATCAGAATCATCTGTGTCAAAAAAGTAGCAACGTTGCAATCACAGACACTTTGGACCAGCTGGGACTGTAGAATCCACCCTGATTGGGTTTAAATCAATCAGATTATTTGTGACATGTAATCATATCAATCAGTCCAGCATAATTACACCAGTTCCTCAAATTTGTGCATTACAAGAGTTAAAATGGAATAACAATAATTATGTGTATGACTGGGGGTAACTAAGATCACCTAAGATCACAGTTTATTTGTATCCTTATAGATACATTAACATGGATGGATAAGTATTGACCATGTGTTTCATATTTTTTTATGTTAAAGGGCCAGTGTGTAATATTTGGCATGGTTTATTGTCAATCTGAATCTGAATCTGAATATTCTACCCATTAATATGTTTATACAAGTGTATAATCGCTATAAAATAAAATTCGTTTGGTTTTCGTAGCCTTATAATTATGCTTCTATATATATATATATATATATATATATATAACAAGGGCCTTGCTTTAGAGAGGTCGCCATCTTGCGCCGCCATGTATGTAAGGCAGCCCA